GATGGGGTTTCAACTTTACAATGCTGGACACAGCTGCCTCCAGCTGGTAAGTGTTGTGGTGGGGTGTGGGGGAGCAAATCAAGACCCCTGCAGTGAGGGAGGAATTGGGGCTGAGGCTGGGACAGGGGCTGCCCAGTGGGCAGGGAGGGGGGTGCAGGGAGCAGGTGGGGCAGCTCCCACTGCTGCATGCTGCCAGTCTAGGAGGACATGGCAGGGTGTATGCCACCAGATCTGCATGGAGTGGGCAGGGCCGGGGCTGCACTCCAGGCCAGTGGCAGAAAGCACTGGGAGCGAGGGCTATGCCCTCCTGCCACTCACCCAGCCAGGGCAGGGCAGAGCCGCTGCACTGCCTCCAGACAAGTGGTGTGCAGGGCATGAGAAGGTATGTGCCTCTGGATCTACGTGAGGCCAGCTGGGCAAGTGGTGACAGTGAATGGGGGAACGCATGCCCCTAGATCTGTGTGGGGCATGTGGGGCGTGCGCTGCACTGGACTGTGCTCCAGGTGCATGGCAGGAGCTACGGCAAATTTAAGGGTGGCTGCAGCCCACCCATAGACCCCGCTCTGCCGCCTGCCCTGATCCAGGGGCATACTCCCCCCCATGCCCTACCCCTGCCACGGCTGCCACTCACCCAGCTGGGGCAGGGTGGGGAGAGCAGGGCGAAGCCGTGGCTCATCCAGGAGGCGCAGAAAGGCCAGGGTGGCTCTGGCCACTGTGTACCACTTGTCTGTAGGCAATGCAGAGGCTCTGCTCCACCCCAGCTGGGTGAGTGGCAGGAGGGCATAGCCCCTACCAGCATTCCCTCTAAGCTGTGTGGTATGTGCGGCCATGCAGGTGTGCCTGGCAGCACAGCATGAGCACGCCTGCACAGCCACACACACCAGGCAGCTTAGAGGGAACTCTAGCCCTCACGTCCAGTGCCTTCTGCTGCCCACCTGGAGTGCAGCCCTAGCCCTGACCCCCCCCCCACACACACACACACAGATCTGAGGGCATACATTCTTTCCCATGCCCTCCCAGACCGGCGGTGGGAGCAGTGACAAGAGCTGCCAGACAAACCACCAGACAAGCAGCTCCCAGACCCGTGGCCCGCAGCAGTGGAAGCTGCCCATCCCCTCCCCACACCCCTCCCACCCCAGCTGGGCAGCCCTCGCCCCAGCCCCTGTCCTAGCACCAGCCCCAATCCCTCCCTTACTGCGGGGACGTTGATCTGACTCTCCCACCACAACAGACTTACCAGCTGGGGGCAACTGTGTCAAGCATGGTAAAGGAACCAATCCCCAGAGTTTGGTGGCCACATTGTTCCTATGGGAAAATTGTTTCCGAGTTACAACGTTCCTACGTAAGACGCAGTTTTCAGGAACCAACTGTGTTGTAAGTCTGAGGTCTGCCTGTAAACAAAATGTTTTGACTTAAAAGTGAAAAAAATCTCATGTTTGTGCTCTTTGATTCATTTCATATGCTTTATTTTATTGTGTTAATAATGGAGGGGATGTAAAGGAAATATAATTTTTTTATTCTGTTAATAATCAGAGTTGTACTGATGTGCAGCTTTTGATTGGTGTGGAATTTTCCGATTTCCAAATCATTATTTTTGACAAGTCTGAAAGTAATGTTTCTACTTGGAGAACAATGCTTATAATAACAGTGTGTATATATTTCTATAGATTATTTAAAAGTGAGTTGCTTAGTTTTAATTTTTTTCATAGAACCTTTTCTATGATTCTAGGAAATAACTGAGCATGTAGATCTTGCTTAACACATTGAAACATGTACCGCTACCTCACCACTTCCTCATCAAGATAAAGCCACATACATTAAATATATACATTAACCATGCATTAAATATTGATCATATTAAGAAATTAAATATTGATAATTTTAATGAAATCCATTATTTCTGTTTGCCATTGTCATTATCAGGATTTATCATTGTGCTAGAAAACAGTACCTGTTTGCTGAAACAGCTGTACCTCAGAGCTGAATGGGCCTATCTCCTCATGTGCAGATACATTTTATGCCAGTGGAAGGCTTCTTTTGCCAGTATAATTTAAATCCGTTCCTCCCATGGAGTAACATGGGGACACTAAATGACTATATATAACTGTATATAAACTAAATGACTGCCAGTAAAATTGCATCTGCTTTAAGGCTTTTGCCTAAATAGTGCTAGCTGTTAAAGGGATCATTTTTTAAACTTAATTAACGTATGTAACACCCCCACACACTTGGGGTTGTGTGTGATAAAGTATGTTCTGGTTTCATGTTGCTATATATCTTGTTTGTGCTGTATATTATGCCTTTTCTGGGACTGAAAGAGGATCACATCCTCTCCCCAACATTGTGTCTAAGCCATTGTCCTAAGATTCCCTCCAAGGGACCTTTGGAACCAGTTGGGTGACTGGCCACTTCTTCAGGAGCAATGACCACCTTTGAATTGATTGGTCTGCATTAGCAGTGTTCAAATAATTCTGCTTTTGATTGGGACCAAGTGATGATGTCAGAAAAGAGATTTAAGGTTCAGGCCACCTGGACTGCGGCTCTCTGTTTCCCCTTGTGGCTGCTGAAGTCTGAAGGCTACTTACCTGGCAGGGGAAATGCTGTGATCGCTAAGGCGGTTTTCCTAGGGACAGGAGATAACTGCTTTTCTGGCATGGGTAGTACCTGTGGAGATAATGTATAGCTAAGCTCCCACTTTCATTTGCAGTGGGCAGATCTTGGCTTTATGCCTACTGTATGGAAATGGCAGACTCCTCCCTAGCTTGCTCCTGTGTCCGTATGAGGGCAAGCAAAATTCAGAGGCATCCAAACCCCAAGCCTTGGGCTTGGGCCTGCATAGATGATGCCCGCCAAATGATTTGGAAGCATCTGAAGCCCCAGGTGGGGTGGAAGATGTTTGCTAGTAGTAGTAACATATATGGTTCATGAATGACTCATGGATTTGGAATTGATTTGACTGATTTGGCTTGAAACACACAAAAATTTCCCCCAAAAAAGAAGCCAGAAAAGTCTGCTCCCTATTCGGGGAAGTAGGGGATCTCCCTACTCTTCACTGGAGAAGCAAATTAATAGCCATGTGAAGGGAAAGCCTCATGTACAGGGAGAGAAAACCTGGCTCAGGGCTTGAGATCCCCATTATCTCCCTCTTTCCCCTTTTGTTTTTTCTGGGTTTTGAGTGGAATGACGCTGTGGCAGGGGTATCAATCCCTGCAGCAGACTGACCAGGAACAGGGACCTGGTAGTCACTGACCCCTGTGTTGGGGATTGTAGTGTCTCAGCACGGTGGGATAGCTGAGACTTCATGTCTAGGCTGCAGCCATAAGCCTGGGCCCTTTTTGCTGTTCACAGCTGTTGCATTTCAGCCCACGTGTGTGGGGCTGACCCCCAGCCATATGTTCGGCTGGTAGATTTGGGCCAGGGTGAAGCCTGCCCTTGGCACTTCTTGTTGTTTATCCAGGCCTCAGTGCTGTGTAGGCTGGCCTGCTTTTTGACACCCAGTCCAGGCCCAGTGAAATAGGCCTGGGCCTTCTTTTGTCCCTTTTGCAGTTTATGCCCAAACCAAGCAGTGCAGTTGGGCACTAGCTGTAGTTCAAGCCCAAGCCAAGATTGGCCTGGCCCCCCTTTTGTTGTTTCATAGTTGTTAGGTCTCAGCATAGCTGTATTGCCGAGCCCCTCTGTACGTTTGCTGCATGTCTGGGCCTGGCTTGGGGCCTGGCACAATTTGCGCCTAGCACATGTTGCTTTTGTAGCTCTGTGTCCTGACCAAGCAGCGTGGTTGGTGCTGGTTGCAATTCAGGCTCTTTTGCTATTTGGCTGGTTTTTCTTTGAGTTCTTTTGCAGTTTCTTGCCCCAGCAGAGCTGGGATTAGGACTAGAAATTTGGGGTGCAATTGCTAATGAAAACTGCAGTTAACCCCTCAAAGCCACCATGTGGAACTGGAGATCAGCATTACACCTTCTCAAGGAGCAACAAGGGGCCCTTTGCAATGCAGAAAGACCTACACTCTCTAGCAGCTCCCTGCAGTGCAGTAGACCCATGGAGCAGCTCATTGGACTCTCCAGTGTGGGCCCCCCTCTCCAGCCCATTGCTAAAGGGCAGGTGTAGGAGTGCAGGCTCCCAGAACTACCCATGAGGGCACCCCAAGTCCCAGACTGCCTGGGTATGGCTAAAGCCTCCCCAAGAGGGTGCCACCTATAGACTTTGTTTTGTAGTTTATAGTGTTTTACAATTATAGTGTTCACTTTTGATTTTTCTGTATTCTTTGTAATAAATTTGGATTTTGTGTTTACACTGCTTGCGAGGGAAGGGTTGTTGGTTTTATTGGACACCCAAGTGATTCATTTAATGTCTTCAGGTAATCTGAGTGGCAATTCGAGCCAAGGTAAAATATATTTAATACCCCAGAATTGAACTTGGCCCTGTTGCTGCAGAAGAGTTACACATAGCTATCCCAACACACAAGTTTTATGTTTAGCCTGAATCTGAGTTAATTTAAGGCCAAGTCAGCACTGTCTTTTATTACAGATAGACTGTGTATATGCAGGTAGATGGTTACTCAGAACTGTATCCATGTAATAAGTCTATATTTTAAGGGTGTTCTGTTTGTGCCTCACTTTGAAAGTTTAAAATTTTTCACACAAACAGATTTTCAGTTTTTGACCAGCTCTACTGTATACTTTGTTTTTAGGCCAATTATTTTCCTTTAGCCATCAGTACATATATAATTTCATGTATTATAGAATATCATTTATTATAAGGCTCTCTTGCACATAAAGTTTTGTGTTTGTCTCTGTAATAACTATACCTCTTAATTGGAGACCTGATCCAGTTGTTGCTTGAGCCTGATGGAGTTTTGCTAGTGACAACAGTGGAAATAGGCCTTATCCTGTTCTATAACCAGTTCAAAGAACTACTTAAGGCAGGTACAATCCCTTTCGATTTCAGAGAACTAACTACCCACTGAACACTGAGTCGACTGAATAAGGAAGTTAGATTTCAGTACGACTTCCTTCTTCCTCTTTTGTATAATATAAAGCATTCCTGTTGGAAAGAGAGACAAGTTTTTCTGCGTTTTGAAAATCAAAACCTCCCATGAAATAATATAGACTACAACCTCCTCACCATTACAACCCCTTCAGAAATTTACAAGTGAGTCTCCTGTATATTTTATTATATAATAATAGTAAACATTCACTGAAACATTTAATCAGAGTAACCGATTGTCTTTGTGTAACCTGGTTTCATTTTACTGTGTCTTTTGATGTTACTGTAAATAGTCTAACCTTTAGCTAAAATAATTTGCATTGTTAATATGATAAAAATCATAGACAAGTCTTTCATATCTAATGCTGTTACTTTTCAACACACATTCGCCCAAACTTCATTTCTGTTTATCAACACAGCAGCAACTTTTGTTCCAACTGTTTCTCAGTATTTCAGGATGTTCATTACAAGCAGTGTTTTCTTTTTAGAGTTTCTATATCTGAAACACTATATTTTCTATATGTTAAACAAAAATGACTGTGCCACATCAATCTGCATTTTTAAAAGTCAGTTTGAATTGAACCTTTTGGGCCTTTTATGTTGCAGATGTTCAACATAATTTAATCTGATGTTTTGAGATTCCTGTTTTTATATCCCCATTAAAAAAAAGTAAAACTTTGTAAATGCTAACCCTCTACAAGGAACAGTTTTCTCTGGGGCAAAATAACCTGATCCAAAAAACTACTGAAATAATTGCAAAGATTTTTTCTTGGTTTAAACAAGCTTTGGATCAGACTCCTGTTAAGGTGGAAAAGTGATGTTTGGGGAACACTGCTTGCCCTTGTCAGGGAGAAGACAAACAACTCTCCTTGTTCTTTCTATAGGGAAAAGGAATACATGCTCCCCTTTACCTCCCTCTGCCTCAGGGGAAATAAGTGCTTTTCCTTTTTACAACCGTACAGACTCTGATTGACAGAACAGACTGCAAGCAGTTCTGTGTTGGAATTTCCCCATGTTTGTGTCCACTATTGCAAACAGGCTTTCTCAGCGACTGCCCAGGAAAAGCACTTTGTATAAATATTGCAGAAGTAAGAACCAAGCAGTCTGCACCAGCACAAACTTCCCATATATACCTTAGCTCTTTATTCCTCCAAAAGGCCCTCTTCATTTTATTCTGCAACAGGATTAAGAGTACTTTTTTAAAATAAACTTCTCCTATATTACTTATTTTCCTCCTTTTCTTCAGCCAGTTGTGAGCAAAAAGTTCCTATTGCCTAACTAATTAAACAGAAATCAACAGTGAAGTTGCCAGAGGCTCTTAGAATTTTTTCACTATTAGTGTAACAATATGATAGTACAAATAGCTGTCACTGAAATTACTATAGTTCTTGATAGGCTCTGTGGACATTTTTACATGTGATGTTGGACCTGGCACTGGGCACTTTAATTAGTGAGCCATGCTAATTAAAAGTGTCATGCATCATGTGTATCAGTGTCCCCATGCTGAAAAAATGGTGGTGGGGTGCTCTGAACTGAAGGTCATTGAACGTGTTTTATCCCAAAGTGCCCCGCCGCCGTTTTTTCAGCGCAGACACACTGATACACGTGACACAGAAGGGTCCTGGAGCGTGTCAGTTTCTGTGCTCCAGCAGACTCGATTAATAGTGTCTGCTCCAATGCACTGGATTTTCAGAGCAGGCTCCATGCACATGTATAGGAGCCCTAAGCTTTAGGACCTCCCCATACAAACATGCAGTAAAGACGAGTCTAGTGGCACAGAGTTTACAAGCCCAACTCTGGCACAAGCCACCTTGCAACCACAAGGTTGCAACATACAAGCAAAGGGAATGAGTAGAATATGCTTCTGCATAATAAATAGAAGCCTCAGTTCTCCTCCTGCCTAGGCATTGCTAGAGATGATATGCCCATCAGATAAAATGGAAAATTTATAACACTACTTTAAGTTTGCGAGCCTTTTACCCTACACTCTAGAGCAGTGGTTCTCAATCTATTTGCTGTAGTGGGCTGCATTTGCAGCTCTCAATGTTATGTGGGCCACACCCCACAGCTGAGGGGGCCCCCAGCTGCAAGGGCTATGGGACCAGGACCAGGGCCCACAGACCCCTGTCCCCCCACTGCAGCACCAAGCCCTGGCAGTTGCTGTGGCCAGAGTAGAGTCTGGAGCCCGGCTTCCACCCCACACCCCATGGGCAGCATATCTGGAGTCAAGCTCTTGGGGGAATGGGGAGGGGCGGATGCAGGCTGCCTGATGCAGGCTTGGGACTCCCTGCCCTACTGTCCTTCCCTCAGGGCCTCCACCACCTAGCAGGTAGGACCCCACACTAGCAAGCAGGGATACTCGGTGCTGCTGCCGGGAACCCCACACCAGCTGCACTGCCACAGTGAGGTGCCCCCTGTCCATCCAGCAGCAGCAGTGCCACAGAGTTGGGCCCCACACTGCTGCTGGGTGGGAAGGGGGCACCTTCCCATGGCTGTGCAGCCAGCATGGGGCTCCCAGCAGTGGCACAAAGCCTCCCTGCCCTGCTCTGACAAAATAGCTCCCAATACTTTCAGTGGTAGCAGGAGCAGCCCTTTGCTGCTAGTTATTGCTGATATTTCTAGAACACACAGCACTTTAATTTTGGTTATAATTACCTAGATTTAAAGCAACAGGAATTCTATGGTTCTTATGAGTTCAAAGAGGTCAGTGTCATTCTTTTCATGGATCTCAGTCAGTTACAGCAAGCCCCACCTTCATGAAATAAATTATTACCTTGAATAAACCTAGAGTTCTTAACTTGTTTGATAATAAGGGTACATTTTTGCATTCCGTCTCCGACAGCTTTGCAATGGACCGAGACCAGTGCTACACAACAGAAGAACCTCAGTTAGAAACTCGAACAGATATTACTACATTTTCTGAAATCACTCAGTCAGATGAAGAAGAAAATGCAATTGAAATTGCAAATTCATTTCCACCAGACAATGAAAATCCAGAAAATGTTGGCCTTCCAGGTTAGATTTCATCCTTACATTCAACTAATTTTCCATGCCCCCAGTCAATGTTATTGATCATTTTATTTAAGAACTGTGCGCCTGATTCATTCCTGCATTATGACAGTTCTACATTGCTTTAATTCTACTGAAGTTTGTGTTATAATGACATATGACTGCAGTAACACAGTGGTATATCAGTTTTTTTTCTTTCTGCGTTTCTCACTCTCACACAGTTTTCATTTCAAAATCCTGGTCCTAAAACTTATTTCAGGCCTAAGTTACACAGAAGTAATCAAAATTAGTTTAAGTGATCCGTATAAAATAAAGTGATAGTCTCGGGTAAGATCTCACATACAGCACAAGATCTATGTTTGACTACTATCTGTTGTCAGTCTCAGCAAAGAGACAGAGGGCTGAATGTAAATGATAATGGAAAGACCCATTCGATTCCAGGGATAGGCTCTCAAAGTCAGAGGACCAGAGGTTGGCGATACAAAGAGCAAGGAAGTTTGTGTTCACTAACTGTGGCTAAGATCTCCAAAGCAGTCACTATTATTATTTGTAGTAGTAGTATAGTAGATTCAAATTTGGTCTTGTTTTTCTGCAAAGCTGTTGTGTACAGTATAAAAAACTATACATTTAAGAAAAAACTACGCTATCCTTCTAGCTCCTATAAAATGAGATTTGAATCAAAATAGCAAGGTGGGTAAAGTAAGGAATCCATAGATTCACAGATTCATAGATGATAGGGTCGGAAGGGACCTCAACAGATCATCAACTCCAACCCCCTGCCTAGGCAGGAAAGAGTGCTGGGGCCAGGTGACTCCAGCCAGATGCCTATCCAGGCTTCTCTTAAAGACCCCCAAGGTAGGGGAGAGCACCACCTCCCTTGGAAGCCCGTTCCAAATTCTGGCCACCCTTACCATGAGGTAGTTTTTCCTGATATCTAGCCTAAATCTGCTCTATGTCAGTTTGTGACCATTGTTTCTTCTTACCTCAAGAGGCGCACTGGTGAACAGAGCATCTCCGATCCCTTGCTGCATCCCCCTAATGAGTTTGTAGGCGGCCACAAGATCACCTCTCAGTCTTCTCTTGTGGAGGATGAAGACATCCAGGTCCCTCAGTCTCTCTTCATAGGGCTTCTCCTGTAAGCCCCTGACCATATGAGTGGCTGTCCTCTGGACCCTCTTGAGTCTATCAAAATTCTTCTTGAAGTACGGTGCCCAAAACTGGATGCAGTACTCCAACTGCAGTCTGACCAATGCTGCAGAGAGAGGAAGTATCACCTCCTTGGATATATTTGTCATGCATCTACTGATGCATGATAAAGTGTGGTTAGCTTTGCTGGTAATTTCATCATGCTGACAACTCATGTTCATCTTGGAGTCCACTATGACTCCAAGCTCCCTTTCAGCTTCTGTGCTGCTGAGAGGGTCACTTCCCAGCCAGTAGGTGTGCTGGATATTTTTGTGCCCTAGGTGCTGCACTCTGCACTTGTCCTTGTTATACTACATGCTATTGTGTACTGCCTACTTTTCTAACCTGTCCAGGTCTGCCTGCAATTGTTCCCTACCATCCGGAGTGTGCACTTCACCTCACAATTTAGTATCATCCACAAACTTGGACAGAGTAGACTTCACACCCACATCCAAGTCACTGATGAAGATATGGAAGAGTACAGGTCCAAGGACCAAACCCTGCAGGACCCCACTACCCACATCCTTCCAGGTCACTACTGACTTGTCTACTACCACTCTCTGGATGCTACAGCTAAGTTAATTTCCCACCCACCAGACCATGTAAACATCTATGTCACAGCCTTTTAATTTATTTATGAGAATAGGATGAGATACTATATCGCAGGCCTTGCTAAAGTCCAAGAAAATGACATCCACCTCTACTCCTGCATTTAAGCATTTTGTGACTGTCATAAAAGAAAGCCAGATTGGTCAGGCATGATCTACCTGCTACAAATCCATCCTGGTTTCCCTGCTGCATTACTTTTCCTGCTGGACTCCCACAAATATGATCCTTCATAATCTTTTCAAAGACTTTTCCAAGGATGGAGATCTATAGACTGGTCTATAGTTACTCCAATCCTGCTTCCTCCCCTTCTTGCAAATAGGGACCATATTGACCCTTTTCCAGTCCTCTGGGACCTGACCCAAGCGCCACGAGCACTCAAACAGCCGTGCCAGTGGTTCTGCTATGACACCAGCCAATTCCCTCAGTACTCTCGGATGCAGCTGATCCCAGCCCGCTGACTTGAACACATCCAGTCCATTCAAGTGACTCTGCTCCAAGTCAGCATCTACAGTTGGTGGGCTGGTGTCCCTCTGATGCCCACCTAAGACCCCATTAGGAGACTTATCTTGAGCCCTGTTGAGGAACGCTGAGGCAAAAAACTCATTGAATAGCTCAGCCTTGTCCCCCCTGTCTGTCACTAATTGCTCCTTCTTGTTCAGTAGGGGTCCTGTGCCTTCCTTTTACTCCCTACATATCTAAAACAATGCTTTTTATTGTCTTTAATTTGTGTTGCCAGCCTCAGCTCTGTAGTTGCTTTGGCCTTTCCAACTGCCTCCCTGCAAGTGCAGGCCAAGTAAGTATACTCCTCCTTGGTAGCTTTCTCCTGCATCCACTCCCTATATGCCTTCTTTTTTGCCCTTAGACTCCCCTGGATTTCCCTGTTTAGCCAAGGAAGTTTTTCAGCTCCTTTCCCCCTTTTCCCTCATACTGCCTGTGGGTCTCAGAGTTGACTGGTAGGAATATGGTGGGGCACACCACATCCAGCACCTACTCCAGTCACTGCAGTTCTATGCCAGACATGGCATCCACTCCAGCGTGCATCAGCTCCATGCAAGAGCCACTGGCACATCCTGAGTAGCTGCTGTATACAGTATAGCTCCAAAGTGGCAAAGCAGCTAGTACATAAAGCATGGTTCCTCAGGCCTGAAGTGGTTGCCATACACAGCATTGCCCTGAAGTGGCCAGAGCACAGTGTCCACTCTGGCCACTCCAACCATTCCAGGACATGTGACAGATTTGGCATCTCAGCCCAGTCTGGAGATCTAATCTGGCCTGTAAATTGGTTCTGTGCCACTCATTCAGCCCTGTGGCTGGATAAATTTGACACCCCTGGTCTATGAGAAACAGCAGTTGTAATGATGTCCTACTCATGCATTGCCCACTTTGCTACCTCAGCCTATCTCAACAGAAGTGCTCAGATTCTAAAATCATCTCCAAAGGCTGAGATGCGTCTACCATTGCTGATCCAAGTTTCCCTTCAAAGTAATCATCCATTCATAATGTAAAACTAATGACATTCTGGCTTCAGTTATACCCCATAGGCAAAATTATAGCTCCACACAAAGGAGCAGGAGCAGTAAGAACTTCTCTTTCTCCCCTTTAATAGTTACGTGGCCCTTCCCCCTTGGAGTAGGTAGGAAGGGTGTGATTGCAGGTCCAGCCATCTACTCGCCAGACAAACCATCTACTTGACTGCAGGAATTTGAAGAGCTGATGATATAGGCTACTGAGAGACTACCTCATCTTCCCATGTTTCTGCCCCACTAGGGAGAAGTGTGAATGAGTCCTGGTTTCCTGTGGCTCCTCCTGACTGAGTGCAAGTTACATATATCATCTCTCTCTCTCAAGATTGTGCCTGAAGTTGCAACCCAGCTTAATTATACCTATGTATATTGTTTTGCCTGTTGTGTTTTTTGTGAGGCAAACAGAGTTGTTGCCATCATGTAAGTAAGGTTACATTTGGCAGGCAAAATATTTCCTTTCCATTTTCAAAATGGTATGGTAGTCTCAGGTGTGCAGAAGTTGTTCGTATTAGCAATCAACTGATGTATTTTAGCAGTCTTACAGTAGTGATATACATATTACTAATGGAATTATGGAATCAGAAAATTCTCTTACTTCCCTGGAGAATTTACAGGAGGTTTTGTTTTTGGTTTTTCCCCAAATACACTGGCTGTAGTATGAAATATTAAGCATATTGTTTCAGATACCAGTGAGGCCCTGAGCCCTCACTCTTCAATGACAACTAAGGAGCTTCAAGAATACTGGGGAAATGAGAAACGCCGCTATAGACAAGTCAGACTCCTTTTTGAAATTCCATCAGCCAGAATTGTAGAACAGCACTTCTCTAAATATGTGGTAAGCTACCAAATGAATACGTAGCATGATCATTAATTTTTATTCACTCTGGAGGGGTCTGAACAGCATGGGTCTTTTCATGAAGGCCTTGCTCATGGCCAAGTTTTACAGTCCTTGCTTATACTGAGCAGCAACGTACTCACAAACTAAGACACTACTCAATGTAAGCACAGCTGCCAGAATCTTGCCCTAAAATGCCTTTGACAATCAAGTCTGCAGCAGTGAAAAAAATTATACATTTTTTCCAACATGCCAAGTTCCTCCTTGTGTATTAAGAAAATTCATGCCAATGCAAATACATCAGTGAGGTTATGCTGATGTAAGGAACTAGGTTATACTCATGTAAACTCTGTCTTGTGCCAACACAGCCTGTCCACATTGGAGAGCCAAAGTGGCACAAGTGAAAACTTCTTTGCAGACAGAGCTTAAAACTTTGCATTTTCAAATAGATCAGTTTTGGCATGGATCCTCTTGCATGCACAGAACTCCAAAGTTTGCCCTATTTGTTATAAAAAACATGAAGAGGGAAGACGGGAACTAGTAGACCTTCCAAGGGCCCTTCTAACCTTACTTTTCTCACATTCTGAATGACTGTAAATATTAAGTGAACCAAGTCAAATTGTGATAATCTGGAAAAACATAGTTCTATCTCCAGTCATGATGCTAGCCTCCCAGTCTGGATTATCTTGGCCAAGTGATAACCTGTGTTTCAATTGCCTTACTTGTAAGATTAGAATAATGACACTTACTTACCTTCTTTATAAAGCACTTTTAGAAATGGAAAGCACTATCAAATATCTTGGAATTACATTATTAATACTCATATTACTCATGTTACTGAGTTCAGTAGGACTACTGTTAGGGAGAAGTTACGTGTTATACTTAGAACATGCTAAGGGCACTTGAGTGCAAATGTTCAAATGTTAAGCTCATTAACTCCTACTAAGTGCCCTCTGAGCACCTCAAAGTTATGTCACCTCATGCAAGGATTAGCTCTGGGCCATGCTACCTGGCTCATGTTAGGGTAGTAACTTTAGTCTGTTCCACAACCTAAATAAATTTGTGGTCCTCCAGCATCCTAGCATGCACTTCTCCTAGCCTCTACCCCTACCCAAAACAAGGACAGAGTCCAGATGTCCTGGCTCATAGCTACACCCCTGCTTATAAGCCCTCCAATGGCAATTCAGAGCTGTGCAGGCAAGAAACAGCATTAGCTCTTAACATGCAACTGCTTACAGCACATTCTAACTGTAACGCCATGTAACATCACACAAATTTAATACTGTCTATGTGTAATATGTAACTTCAGTCTTAGAATAGTAGTAGTAATAGATAATAGAATACTACTAGAATGGTAATCAGCTGTTTGATACAATGAAAGTTTTTCGTGTCTTAGCTCATGTGATCTTATTAAATCTATATAGGTTCTGCTACTCTTACACAGGCTGAATATTATCAGACTCTGAGTAACCCCATTAGCTTCAATAAAACTGAGGAATAAGTTACTATTTGCTTTGCTTAGGATGGTAGAACTCAAGCAACTAACTACATGAAAAACATGTTTTACTTTACCAAAAAAATGTTGAGCAAATTTGAGTGATTTTATTATATGAAATCTCCATTTCCGCTTGGTCATTCCACAAAGAGAACATAAGTTCATCTAGTAGTTGTGAATTATTCACTAAGCTACCCTTGATAGTCAGATTTCTTAAATCATCATCAGTTTATGTTCTGTACAGTTCTCTTGCTGTCTTTCAATATTGTTTTGGATATACATAAATAGTGTGTACTGTGTTATCAGCAGGGCAAAGTGTAGGAAAATCTCAGTGTTAATGAATGAAAAGAGATCAGAACAATGGCAGCTCAGGTTTGGGAAGCTTCAGAAAAGCTTGCTTTAATGATGATTTATCAGGCTTAAAAGTGAACGACAACAGAATGAGACAGGTTCTTATTCTACTGATGTTTTGCAACATCCAATGCCCAGCAAAAGGGAACAAATGACTTGAGCAAACCGTAAACTCAAACCTAATCCTGTTTAAATCAAAGGGAACAGGATGAGCTCGTATATGAACAGTGTCCTGACTTAATCTAAAGCACACTGAAGTCAATTGACCACACTCTCAGTTGGTGTAAATAGGCAAAGCTCACCTGACTAGCACAGAATTACACTGACTTACACAACCAAAGGAGACTTCTTCAACTTTAATGGGCTTTTTTACTTAGTCATGTTTATTAAGCTGTCTTTAATATAAATTTAGTGCAAAATAGAGATGAATTTACCTTTGAGTACTGGTAAATTGTTACTAATGTTCTTCCACCAGTTGTTAGTGAAAGGTCTAGGATAGCAAACAGTTTGTTATCCAAATGTTGTATTCTCTTTTACCAATTTTTTGGAAAGGTGCAGGGCTTGTATAGTAGGACAATAAGTTAGAGAAAAATGTCTCTGGAGTGCTCTGTGTCATTTTGCATATATCAGATGTTCCCACCAGGTCTCTCCTATTCAGAGCCTTAATAATGCCCAGAAATCCCTTGAAATGTGAGCTACAAATAACATTTCTAACTATTACAAGAAATAAAAAATATGTTATATTCAATATGAGGTCTGGGAAATCCATGCAGTTTGTGGATGATTGATTGTATCAGCTGTATTTGTTACAAAAGAAGTAGTTACATTAATGCCCCATATTACTTCATATATTTAACTGTTATGAGCAAATTGAGTTTACCAATTTAAAGTCTCCATTCAGCATTGTGCTGAATCACCTATTAAAGTCAAAGACTTACATTCATGCAAAAACGTCTCTCAAAAGTCTAAAACATTAGTGGATGGGAACAAATGACTTGTCAACACCCATCTCATAAATCTTATCTTTTGGAGGAACCTGCTCTAATTGTGGGAATTGATTGCCAGTCTCAGATGTCATATTGCCAGTGCAAGCCCAAAATGTACATAAGATCTAGACTGCTACATTTAGATCTAAAGTGATGCAGTTTGCACTACCAAAGATCTTTCAAGCCAACACACATTCCACTGATACAAATCATGGCCTTCCTTGTCCATATTTATAGCTCCAACAGTGCAAAACCCCTCTGTAACTAGAACCAGGGCAAAATTCCAATCCAAAAAAAGCCAAAGTTACATCTAAAATAATGTGAAGCTGCTGTGTGATAATAACTTGATATAACAAGGCTGCAAATCTTACTGCTTTTTGTTTTTTATTCTACCCCCGCTTTAGATGTACAAAGTCATTGTCATCCAGACAGGTAGTTTTGATGTCAACAAATCTGTCATTGAGCGTCGTTATTCAGATTTTGAAAAACTGCACAAAAATCTTTTGGAGGATTTTAGTGAAGAAATGGAAGATGTGACCTTTCCTAAAAAAACTCTGACTGGTAACTTCACAGAGGAAATAATCAATGAGCGAAAATTAGCCTTCAAGGACTACCTGAGAATTATGTATTCCATGAAATATGTCCAGAGATCCAAAAAATTTATAGACTTCTTCGTGAGACCAGAGCTGGAGGAAGGTTATGGGTGTCTGAGAGGAGGACAATACGCTAAAGCTTTGGAAATACTTGTGCAAGCAATTGCTTTGCAAGAAAAATTGACAAAACACAACCCTCTTTTAATAGTCTCTACACTCTGTGCTATTGTTGTGTGTCACAAAGACCTGGAGAACCCACGAAGTGCCTATGAATATGGAGAAAAGGCTTTATTACGCCTACAGCTGCGCACCAGCCATAAGTATTATACCGCATTGCTAGAGACAATGATCACTTTGGCATATGAACTTGGGAAGGACTTTGTATCCTTGCAAAAGAAACTGGAAGAAATCAAGGCAAAAAGACACCAGGCAAAAGTATTTACCCTAAAAGAACTTGCAGTTCGAGAATATGTACACTGAGTACAAGAAAAAAATTATGCTTCTATTTTATTGACTACGCTGAGTCAATGAAGACAACGGACTCCAAAGTGTGTTCCTAAAGCAGTTGAGCCTGAAGCTTATAAAAAAAACTTACAGCAAAAGTTAGGACTATGGCATTTCCAGTATATAAAATGTAAAAGACACGCAGTCACGTTTCTTGCATATTGTATTAGCTACAGTCCAAGGTGCATATGGTAGACCCGGTTGGCAACCAGAAAGTGACTGATATGCATGGGGTTCTGCTAATCTTGCAAGCCCATCTCAGTCAACACCTGAACATCAACTTGCTTCACCACTCTATGTAGTAGACAGCACAAACCCAGGATTAAATGGTTTAAATAGCAGCCAGAATGTACAATCAGCAGCTTGATTATTTAATTGCTTTTGCAAGGTTCTAGGTACTAACAAGCAGGCACGGCCTAAACACACGGTGTTCTAGAAGGAACCACAAGAGGCACTTGATTTTAAGCAGGGTCTTTAAAAATAAACAGAAGCCTGGAAATGTCTTGTGTTATTTGCACATTTAAATAGGTACCCATGTTATGGCTTGCTCAGTATATAGTACCAAGAAACACCAAAGTTTCCTAAAATGGAAATAAATGTGTGAACTGTTTTAGCTTGTTCATTTTTTACAGCAATTTGTGCATAGCCAATTTCACTGTCATCTCTCTAATCCCTCAGAATAGGGCTGCTAACATAGAGGAGTCCCTAAATATGTGTGGAATCACAGACTTTATTCTTTTTTTGCTAAAATTCCTTTGCAAGAGAGTGTGTGCTAACCATAGGAAAACATTTCTAGAAGAAATAAAAAGAAACCTTCAAAACATGCTCTTCAAGGGGTGTTCTTTCAGAAATCATGTTCATATTTCCTGCGCCTGTGACTGAAGTATTGTCAACGAGCAGTCAGCCATTTCCAGATATGTAATATCAGGTGGTCTTAGCCTGCTGCCACTGAGGTTAGCAGTTGTTTTACATTTAATTTCAGTAGGAGTATGACTATGCCAGTGGTCATCTTTTCACTGGCTTTAGGGTTTATATTTAGTATCCTTTTGTAGCTGATACGATTTCATAGCTTGCATCACATTCCCTTTTTTGAGCAATTTTTAAATGCAGCTTTGACTTGAGTGAAAAATACATCCCACATGTAAGGTGATGGAACATCTGGCTAATAAAATGGTAGCTTTAATACTGATAGTCAAGCTGTGAGACACATGGTCAACAGGCAATCTATATAGAGCATGAGTTCCTACCCAGACTTCCAGAGTTTGGTGTAATGTGTACAGTACATTACTTTTAAAGTCTATTTGTATGAGAGAAATGCCACAAGCTGGCAGTGAAGTTTCACTGCTGATCATTTCAGGAACCTCACATACAGGTACAGATATGGAGCTTGCCCTAGTCCTGACATTTCTGTGAAACTTCATGACAGTTGGGACAATCTGTACTTGCCGACGCTTGGAAGGCATTATCTTTACTCATCCATTTTGGTGGTTCTCTCAGAAGTGCTATTTGCATAATTATGGAATCATTTTTAATATTGTAATAAACTGGTTAACGTTTGTGTGGACCTCCTCCCTCTTCTGAACATAATCATAATGTTTCAGCTTGCTTTTGGATCAGGAGGAAATGTATTCTGCCTTTGTTTTTACTCTTTAGCTGTAAGGTCATTTTTCTGTAGCTTCCATAAGTACATGTTATGAGCTGTTATAGTATGTCTAGCTAGTGACAGTGATCTGATCTTCATTTAACACAAATGGGAAATTGGGCAATAATGAATTGTAATCCTAGTAGTTATAGTGCAATATTTAAAAACAAACAAGCCCCCATACCTCAAACTGAAGTCAGTGGTATCTATGGGTATTCAGCCCTTCTGAAACATTCAGGCCCTTCAAGAATCTCTCTGTGGCCTTCTACAACCCCACAGAAAGAACGCAAGAGACAGCATTGTTACTCAACTGCACTAGTTGAAAGGCTCAGCTGGTTTAAAAATGCTTTGAATATGGAAAGCATTATTGGTGCCCAGATGGCCCAGGGATGAATGCCTGAGAAATACTTTATCTGATAAAAATATACAAACAAAATAAAACTGTATTCAAACACCAACTATATTTTAGTCAATAAAAATAAATTATTAACAAGGAAGTACAGAAAAAAGCAAACACACACCAAAACCTTAATGCTTAGTAATAGCAGAAATAAAAGCCATTGCAGGGGAGTAGGGGCTAAACATCCTCAAGCAAAATACTTCAGACTAAGAATTCTGGAGGACAACTTGACAGGAGCCGTCACGACCCTCTTACCTGACTGCACCTGCCTGTACTTAAGCACACAAAGTGCAGGGTTTCAGTAGGACAAAACAGTTAGTCCTCATAGTTTATGGAAGACAAAAGTCTACTATCCTACTTCTGATCTCAAAATGGACAGGAAGGAAAGGAATCCATGATCCCACTCACCTCCTGAACAGTTTGTAGAATAGGCATGGAAACAGTCCTAACAAGCAGTTTCTGGTTGGCAGCAGCAGCTGAAGCAAAGGTGGTGAACTGGCAGCAGCAGCCACCATTCTCATGCCTCCACTGGTACCCAGGGCTGGTGCCCTGCTAATCCACTCCTAGTGATGCTACTGCTTAGAGTGGTAGACCCTCCTAACTTCCCATGCAGTGACAAAGGAGCTTACAGAAGAATTTGACTTCAAGTAGCCCCTAGACCAGGGCTGGGTAATTATTTCAGCTGGAGGGCCACTTAATGAGTTTTGGTGACTTGTCAAGGACTACAAGGGTAGCCCCAGCCCTTGACAGGTGCCCCACCCTCTGGTTGCCATTTTGGGACCGGAAGTCCCATCCCTAACCTCTGACCTTTGCCACCAGAAGTCCCTGCCCCTGCTCTCAGAAGTACTCCCTTTTTCGGGGGGGGGGGTAGGGGAGGGTTGCCATCTTGGAACGGGAAATAAAGCAAATCATATGCTAAAAAAATCCATAAAATTCAAAAAGATTTAACAAATTAGTATGAAATTAATATCAAAGAGGCACTGCAAATTTAGACACGAGATTTACATTTCTGAGGTT